CACTTCACCTTTCCATGTTATTCAAAGTATGCGAAGTGAGATTCCAGTCCCGCAGCACCTTCAAGGCCAACAAAGCTTTCAGGCTACATGCTTTCGAAAGTCAAAAGCTCCCTTCGTCAGATATGTATGTAGACAGAGGCACACACTGATACTGAGACAGATACACTGAGACTGATACAAGAAGGAATGAAGATCCCCGAACCCACCTCCATCCCAGTCAGAAGGAAGGAGAGGCGTTGCAAAGAAGGGAGTCAGGATGCAAATTTACAATGCAAAATGTAATTAGCTTGTGCAAAGTGCATGCACATTGTTTGGCTGCGCTCTTCACGGCCGCCCTGTAAGGTAGGCTGATAAAATGTCCTCCATAAAATGTCCTGTTGGATAGCATATGGATTGGCCAAAGACAGAAGAGACCCCCTCACTTCTGCAGGAGTGTACTGCATACCCTGCAGTTGTGGACAGGTTTACATTGGGATCACACAACGTAGCATCCAGACACGAATAAAAGAACATGAAAGACACTGGAGACTTGGCCAACCTGAAAAATCAGCAGTGGCTGAACGTAGCCTAACTCAAACAGGACACAGTATCTTATTCCAAGACACTGAAAGGTTGGACAACACATCCAATTACCATGTGAGATTACACAGGGAAGCCATTGAAATTCATAAACATAAACACAATTTCCACAGGAAAGAAGAGAGTTTAAAAATAAATAGGGCATGGTTTCCAGTCCTGAAAAACACAAAATGCTCTACATCTTACAACAGCACTACAGATAAGATTAGAATTTCAACAGCCAATCCATATGCAAAAGAACCTCCTCAGGAAAGCTCCTCTATTAGCATGTAACAGCCTGGGAAACTCCTACAAAAGAATGACTCAGCCCCACCCCACCTTCCTGAGTAGATCTAAATTACCTGCCTACCATTTTTCTTCTCACCTTGACACAGAGAGTACTCCGTCTTTCTGTGTAATACCTCTGAGGATGCCAGTCACACCTGCTGACGAAACATCAGGTACTACAATGCCAAGACCATGGCCATACAGCCCAGAAAATCTACAGGAACTAATGAACTCCAGCTGTGAAAGTCTTCAACAACTTATTGCACTGTACATCATTCACTGCTTCTCTGCTGTATCTACACAACAACCTTGTGAGGTAGGCAGAGGTTCTCCAAGGTTTCAGGTAGAGGTCTGTCTTAGCTCTGCTACTTGTGATCCTGTTACCTGGAGATTCTGGGGATTGAACCCAATACTTTCTGAACAAAAACAGTTGCTCTACTACTGAAATACAACTCCCAGCTTAGCATTGCAAATAAGTTTATAAGCCCTCACTGAGCCAAAGAAATCCAGGGAGTTCTCTTCACAGGAGAGGAAGCATTCAAAAGTATGACACATACATCTTGAGTCTGACATGAAAGAATCCAAAATTCATATTTTGAACAACACAGAGATCACCTGGTAATGGCTGCAAAAGAAAATGGCTGCCCCGCCCCAGGCCCACTGTGAAGAATTCCAGGACTTACCAAGAAAACGATTTCACATGTTCGTGTATCATTATCCATGTCTGTCCAAAATCATCTGATTTCCAGAGCTGAGAGATTAAAACATAAAGAAAGACACTGAGACTCTGTCGGTTGGCTGAACCTAGCTACGTGGATCATCAGAACATAACTAAAGGGCCAGTAGCTAGGGTTGCCAACTTTGGACTTGAAAATTCCTGGAGGTAGACGAAGGCGTTTGGGAAGGGGAGGGACCTCAGGGAGGTATGATGCCACAGACTCCACCCTCCAACGCTGACAGTTCCTCCAGGGGAACAGATCTCTGTCATCTGCAGGGCTATTTTGGGGCAGGAATGTACAGGAACAGAGTTCCGGCTGGCTCCCAAGTTGGCCACACCCAGCAGGAAATTAGGATTGGCTACCTTAGGGG